ACCCATCTCGAGACCCTCCTCTTTGACTGTGCTTTCGATCTCCCTGCTTCCCCCCCGCCTTCCACCTTCCCCGATCCCAACCCCCGGCTCGGGTCCGAAGCTCTCTCTGTCCAGCGCCTTGGAACATCATCTCGACATGAAAGCTGCTATACAAATGTAATTTTGTTGTTGTTGCTATTGTATTTACTTTTCTACAAAAGCTGAACCATGCAATGAATAAACAGAATACACACCAGGAACCAAGGACCTTACAAAAAACTAAATCACTGGGCATTCACCACCGTAACTCACCATAACACCGACAGTGCCATCTGTTATGTTCTTTATACCGTTTGGTTGGTTATTTTCATGACCCAATGCATGATCCAAATCCTCTATATAAAGGCTCCTGGAAATAATTAACTCTTAAAGAGTTTGAGACCTCCTGCTGTAGCTGTAAAATCAGAGGACTATGTAATTCCAGAAGTATTAGGAATAGCATCAGACCTCATGCAATAGCGTCATACCTCATCAAACCTGATGATATCAGGTCTGACTCACTTCCTTCCACCTGCTGCTTGAATCTGCTTTCAATTATTTTTAAGTGATTTATTTGTTTTAGATAGAATGTAGGTTAGGAAAAGAAGAAGTAGCAAAGGCCCATTCATAATTTTTTTGTGGTTCACACTTCCCTGTGTTATCAATGCCATTCTACCACTCCATAGTGCAAAGGAATGAAATGCAATACAGTGAGCTCTCCCGAACCCTTACTCACAATACTTCACAGCATATGAAAAAGCTACATTTCTCTCACAGTATTTTAAATGGTCATTCTAAGAGGTTTTTTTAAAAATTATAAATGGATTCTACTGTTTCTAGAAAATATGTTGTTGATACACTTGGTGGCTGAGGGCCACAAATGAATCAATTTATACTGATCATTTATAAACAAATTTTCAAGTAGCACTGACAGGAGTTAGAGAGTCTGTCCAACATACACAACACATCGAACACAGAACCCCATGAAATGAATGATTAATGTATTTGCTGGAGGCCTGATAACCAGGTTACCAGATGTATTCCTTTCTCTTTCCAAATAGTGTCTTAGGATAGTCCATCTAAACTGACAGGCATCTTGGTTTAATACCTCAGCTGAAGCACAGCATCTTCAACAATGCAATGTTCACACAATGACGTGCAAACCCGGATAATAAGCTGTCCCAAAGTCTCGATGTGGGACTTGTACCAAAAAACTGCTGACTCAGTGATGAGTCACTATGGAGTGCTACCAACTGAATGAAAGTAATAAAATATATTAAATAGTGATGAAAATGCATGCCATATACTTCTTCCTTATTCTTCAGTAATATTGAATAAATCATTTCTGAACACTTTATTCATAGGTGTCAGCCTGGCTCAATTGTTAGCATTCTTGCCGCTGAGTCAAAAGGTTTTGGGTTCAAAACCCATGCATTGCACTTTGAACTCACAGTCTACTCTGACATTCCAATGCAGTACTGTGGCACTGATGTTGGAAATGCATCCTTTGGATAAGAAATTAAACCAAGATCCATCTGCATGTTCAGGTGGAAGTTAAAGATCCTCTGGCGCTACTCATAAACAAAGGAAGTTTCTCACTGTGTCCTGGCCAGCAATCCCCCAAACAAAATTGATCATTTGTGGAGTCCTGTAGCTCAGTGGTTAGAGCACTCGCTTTGCAAGCGAGAGACCTGGGTTCAATTCCAGGCAGGGAGAAACCTTGGGCAAGTTTCCTTACTCCACACAGAGCCCTAATAATAATCCCTCCAAAAGCCCCAAACAATAATAAATTGGTCATTTTCAATCTACGACTGTTTGTGGGACATTGCTGTGCGCAATTGGCTGCCGCGTTCGCCCACAAATATACAGTTAATTCACTTTACAGTATATTCTGTGAAGCGCTTTGGGACGTCCTCCTGACGTGAAAAGCGCTATATCAAATGCAAGGATTATTATTATTATTATTAATGGCATTTGTGATATATTGCTGTGTGTAAATTCGCTGCCGTGTTCACCTAGAATCAAATAGTTACTAAACTTCACAGTGAAATTCTGTGGAGTGCTTTGAAACAGCTCAACGATATATAAGGACTGTATCAAATGCAAGTATTATTATTATGGTTCAGTTAGAAAGTGTTTTATTTGTTCTATAATTTGCTTATCGTATGTACAACAACAACAAGATTACACTTGCATGGTGCCTTTCACGTCGGGAGGATGTCCCAAGGCGCTGGACAGTGTACAGCATTTCAGACCCGAGCTGGGGTCGGGGGGGAAGGGGGGGGGAGGGGAAGGGGGGTGGCCAATGGCATGGTCAAAGAGGAGGGTTTTGAGGCGGGACTTGAAGGAGGCTAAGGAGGGGGTGAGGCGGAGTGATTGGGGGATGGAATTCCAGAGGTTGGGGGCAGAGTGGCTGAAGGCTCTCTCGCCAATGGTGAGGCGGGTGGGTCGGGGGACGTGGAGCAGACCGGAGCCGGCTGAGCGGAGGGAACAGGCGGGTTGGTAGGGGGTTAGGAGGTCGCAGAGGTAGGGTGGGGCGAGGCCATGGAGGGCTTTGTATGTGAGGACCAGGATCTTGAACTGGATCCTCTGAAGGATAGGAAGCCAATGGAGTCGATGTTCACCTGTGTTTGCAAAATAAAGATTTGCTTTAAACCGCCACGTGCTGCGGATTTCTGCGTTGTTACAGAGATTTCAAAAGGAATTCTGTCTTCTGAGAGAGGTTCTCGATCCATATTGTAGTCAAATTCAGCAGGGAGGCTGGCAGAGGTGTAAGAACCTTATAATTCACACATGCCCCAGAAAATACAGCAAGAATCTGTAGTATTCCAGGGCACTACTGATGACAGCACCGCCAGCCTGGCTCATGGGCAGGACCTGGAAGGGCAGATGTCACAGGGGGCAGGGAGTCATACTACTCAGCTCCTGTTAACCCTGAAAGCCAAAGCCGTAACAGGTAGGGTAGTCCTAGCTGCACAAGCAGTGGGAAAGCTTGCTGGACAGCAATAATGATGGGAAGCTATGCGGTTTTAGCTGTCCCCCGCGCGCTCTGGGTTCTCCAAGCCTTGGCTCTTGCCAACCTAGGCCTAATACTTTCCAGAATTAGGTAAACAGGATGGATCCCTTCAGGGAGAGAGTGCGCACTCCATTCCATGAATCTATCTCTGGAAATCTCAGCTTGGTTTGGATACTCATGGAGATGGGTTTCCGCATGTATCAGACACCCAGCTGACAAAAAAAAATTTCAGCAAGAGTGTGTAAATTGGCCCATATCCACCTGAGAAGCAAGATCGTAACAATGATACGCAAGAAACAATTGGCTTAACTCTTGCAGTCCTACTGCACTGACCCACGCAAGTAATGGGCCTCTAAATATGTCTCCACTCTAGTTTACAAATAACACCCATGCAAAACAAAAATAATATGATCCATTTGTTCTCGGACCATAATTGCCGGGTAAGAATAGTTAGCAAAACACAAACATGTTAGCCATGAATTGAGGCTTAAGCCAACCCTTATAAATAAATTGAACATTGAACTGCTAAAAGGTTTTGTGGAAAACTTTAAAGACGTACGTTTGATTTTCATTATTTTACCCAATCCTCTATACACAGATATTTATCATTCATACATTGAGGAGGTAACAACAGCTTACATTTATATGGCACCCTTTACATTGCATAATGTCTTGGAGCACTTTGCAGTGACAGAGTAAGACACTGAGCAGGTGAAAGGGACAATGTATAACAATAACAAGAACAACATATCAAAGAGGTAGGATTTAAGGTGAAACCTGAAGAGCAGGTGAGACAGAATGGTAGAAGCAGGGGATTCCAGAGGTTAGGTGCATAGAATCTGAGAGCTTGGCCATCAATGATGGCATGGATAGGGTAGAGGATGTGCTGGCAACCCAAGCGAGCTGAGCAGAGGAACGAGAAAAAAAGTGAGGCATGAGGAGATCAGAGAAATAGGGAGGTGTTAGGGCATATCATCTGACAAAGGTTTCCTCCGAAATCAACATGACATCTGCCAGTGCAATAATTTAAACTGTTTGTTATTTTAGATTAATGCTACCACTTCTTCATCTAAAACACAGCTAGCAGAAACAGATGCACTATTCAGAGTGCTGCTTAATTTTTGTTTGATTAATCGAGTGTCTGACATACTTTGATTAAACATATCCAAATTAGACTGCAAGTTCACACTGGAAATGTCCCTGTGGCTTGAATAGAATGTGCACTCTCTCCCTGGAGGATCACATTCTTGCTTACCTTATTACGAAGAGTTTTAGGCACAGATTGGCAAGATCCAACGCTTGGGGACTCCAGAGTGTGCATTAGGTTACTGCTGGAGTTTAAGCAGATAAAACCACATAGCTTACCATTGAGAGCACTGCCTGGCAAGCTTTCCCATTGTTTTTCCAGTTTGGAATACCCTACCCATTTAGGGTTTGGGTTTGCAGGGTTAACAAGAGTTGAGTGGGAAGAATTTCTGCCCCAGCAATTGGTCGTCCCTCCAAGTTTTGCCAAGACTTAGGCTGATTGGGCTGTCAGGAACAACTCACAGGAGTACTGTGAACTTGCCTGGTTCAGGAACCAGGTTACCAAGACCTCCACAAAGGGCTGACACGGTTCTGTTATTCCATTGCCAAATATATCATGTTGGAGTGAGCTCAGCTACCTTTCCCTTTCCTCCCCCTTCCCAGGAGGATAGTCACCAGTTGGTTTAATAGCACAGCTTTATATAAAATATTTATAGTTTATAATTGAATGCAATACATAAAGTAATCTCAAATACTCTTAACTATTAAATAACCAATTAATCTGAAAAAATATCACACAGCGATTTGAATCTAATTTGAATACCAGACATGTACTTATCATCAAATCCAGTTTGCTGGCCATCATTACAAAGAACCTTTCGGTAAGCTGTAACAACAGAAAGGTCTGATGGTCAATAATGAATCCAATTGGTTTACTTTGTCAGCATTTATTGAACAGCTCCAGTCTAATGTTTTACATGCAAAACATTGCAGTTTCCTTTTATTACACAATAGTGCATGAAGAATTTACTGGTAACAGTTTAAAGTAATTTTACACTTTTCTGTAATAATGCATATAACCCATATATTTAAGAAGCTCAGCAGAGATAAAACATAATGATTTTTTTACAGTACTCAGTGTGATGTAAGTTTTTTCCCACTGCCATTTAAAACTACAGAATTCAAACCTGATTGTTACGTCTTTCATAAGATCCAAAAATACAAATCACTGTTCCAAATCAACCCATTAACTTGCTTTCCTTTTCTTTCATTTTGCAGGTGCTCTAAATGTCTGAAAGTTAAGATTTCTAGTATTTTTGAGAATTTGGCCAACAGAATTTGTATAGATTTATATTCTTGGCAATTTGAAAATGCAATTGAGATAATTCCGACTGAATATAGACTGAAGATATTTATTCCAAGTGATGCCTTGCCCATCCTCAAATACACATACAATAAAACAAGGGTTAGCATCAAAATAGGGTTAGCAACAATGCTGATTTCCAAAGCCCACAGATATAAACAAATTTTGATTTATATACAATCAAGGTGCTAATCTTAAAATAAAAAAACCAAACATTTTAAAACGATGCAAACACGACATTGATAACAGTGTCATAAATATCACTATATCTGAGTATTTTCTGTTTTCTTTGATTTTTATACTGCAGATAAATAGATTGAACAAAGTTTTATTAAAAGCAGGATTGTAGGTTATTTATTAACCCTTGTTTTGCATCACAATTACACAATTTCTGAAATTCAAACTGCCATAATTATTCTCCCAATTATGGGTTAAAATGCATTTATAAATACAGAATAGTTACTTTAAACTATTACGTTTAGTGAATATTTAATTCCTTTAGCAAGTGGAATTAAAACAAAATAAAGCCAAGATACAACAAAATGTATTTTTAAAGTTGTAAGTCCTTTTGATGCCCTTCTGTTGCTTTATAATCAGTCAAATCTTAGGTTGACACCACATTGCAACATTTGAAGCTGAGAGAAAAAAGGAAGAGAGAGAGAGAGAGAAACCCCCACAACACTGATGTTTAGAATGGTGGTTGTTAATTCCTTTACTGTTTATTTTTACAGGATAACTTTACCTCACTTGCATGATGAATCTACTTTGTTTTAGCTGATATTGTTTTGGTATGGATAATACAATGCTATTAATTGACTTGTCCTCTGGTTTATCGCTTTTTGAGTGGCAATCTCTTGAATCCACAGAGCCGAGGGAAGCTTTGAGAATAAAAAATTTCAAAGGGCTTAACATTAGCCAAAATGCACACACGCTGTTTGCCCTACACTGATGGTAGGCTTGATGCTGATTACCAGATCACTTCCAGAAAAGCGGCTTTATAATAATAATAGTCCAGTTTTAGATCATTTGCCCCCTGATAAACAGGATTCATTTTGTACTTTGCACTGCATGAATTAGTGTCTCACATCAAACAAAGATCACTTCTGTGATAACATCTATAATTCCGAAAGATGTTAATGCTGAGCATTATATGTGAAGATAAAACCGAAATATGATTGTCATTGTTTTGTGATGAATTACAAGTACCTAGCATATTAAGATACTTTCTATTGGACCGATCTGAGTCAGTTGAATAAAAGGTACTGTGTTGTGACTAGACTTGCTCTATTATATACCAACATACAATATAGCACACACAGCTGTGGCATTCGCCCAAGAACCAATATGTATGTTATGAAACCAAATAGTAAAAGATTAGCCAAACTGACCTCCAATAGCTCCTAGAATTGTGTGAGCAAACTACCGCTTGGCTCACCTTAATGTTTCATATAATTTTGTAAGAAACAAAACACACAGCAGGTTTGGGGCTAATAGCGGTAAAGAGGCGCTTCAGCAATCAGACTTGGCACTTTTAAGATGAGCTCATGATGTGAAGTACCTAAATCGGATCAGCTTCTGGAAAGCCTGTTTGAAATCATCGTTGGACATGGTGTATATGATGGGATTGATCAGTGAATTCAGGTACCCCAGCCAAGTGAAGAAGTCAAAAATGGCAGGATGGAACCAGCAAGCTTCCTTACAGATGGGAACCACCAGCGAAATAATAAAGAATGGAAGCCAGCAGACAATGAAAGCCCCTAAGATTATCCCTAAAGTTTTTGTTGCTTTCCTCTCCCTGGCCGCCAGGATCTTCTTCCTTTCCAAAAGAGTGTCAGAAACTTTAACTTTGACGTGGTTCAAAACAACGGGAGAGCCTGTCTCGCCGGAGTTTTCGTTAACCCTTGAGTTCACCGAAGACACGGAGGAGGATCCTGGTGAGTTAGTGATCAGCTGAGCCGTGGTCAGCCTCTTGCCCGTCCTCTTTGGCGACTGCTTCAGTATTCGAGAGCGTGCCTCCACGTAGATCCTCCCGTACAGGGCAATAAGCAGCAAAGTTGGGATGTAAAAGGCGCCAAATGTGGAGTAGATGGTGTAGAAGATTTGATCGGTATTGACCACACAGTGCGTCAGCTCGCCCGCCTTGGATTGTCTCCAGAACATAGGTGGCATGGAAATACAAATGGAGATTACCCAGACAGTGACTATCATTCCAGCTGCTCTTTTGGGGGTTCTTTTGGATGAATACTCGACAGCATCAGTGATAGCCCAGTACCTGTCTAAAGCAATCACACATAAATGGAGGATGGATGCGGTGCAGCAGGTGATATCTGAAGACAACCAGATATCACAGACTATCTGTCCCAAAGTCCAGGTCCCACTAACCGTATACACAATGCTTATGGGTAGCACTAATATGGAGACCAGGAGATCAGTGACAGCTAGAGAGGCGATCAGGATATTAGCAGGGGTCTGCAGCTTCCTGGTCCGAGAGATGGTGATGACCACAAAAGCATTGGACAATACAATAGCCAGAGTGATGAGACTGAGGAAAACCGAGAGAGAGATTCCCAGGGCTGTGATCTGGCTCTCCTGCTCCTGAGTGCTCAACTTTGTGCTGCAGTTTGTGCTCTTGGAATTGGTTTGTAACTGATCAGCGTTGGGTTCCAGGCATTGGATTGACCGGTTCATCATTGCCCAGGATGGGAATCACACCCCATCCACATCAGGCACTCTGCAAACCGCACCTGGCAGGGCAGACACCCCCAAACATTGCTTTACAGTCTATATATATATACACACATATATATATATATATTTTTTAAAAAAGTAAACATGCACCACAAGACTGCAAATCAATGCAACACACCGAGTCCTTACTGGAAGTGAGGAACACTGTCGTGATTCTGTGTTCTGGTGTGAGGAGCCGCCTTTGGAGAGGCACAGTTCTGCACAGGTAGTTGAGAGCGGATGAATGGTCCGCGTTCAGAATGGATCCGAGTGCTTTTGCTTGAAAGGTTGAAATTGAAAGTGATCGCCAGTTCATCTGATACCGCTCGGGTCCCCGCTGTATTGCTGAAGGGCGACCCTATTCGGTTTCAAAGTGGAGTCCAGTTTTGCTGCGCTGTGTTAGCTCCCGGACAAGACCATTGATGGGGACACCTTTCTGCTCCCAGTGATGCTCATCCTTTGGCTTTCTCTCTGAAGCAGAGCGGGTTTCTTTGCTGTTTAGTTGGTAATCGGAATGAAAGGGCTTTGGCAGCGCAGTTGCCACCGGACAAACGCACTCCATCGGCAGACTTCAATGATCGATGCAGTCAAAAGACCCCCTCTGAGCCCCCATCGAGCTCAGGGTCAGTCCTGTGTTGATGTTATGTTGGTCACTCGATCCACTCTTCCACAGATGCACTGTGTCCTTTGGACCCTCTGTCACTCACTCACTCACTCACTCACTCACTCAGTCAGTCAGTCAGTCAGTCAGTCAGTCAGTCAGTCAGTCAGTCAGTCAGACGTGCGATCGGCTTGGCTTGGTTTGGCTTGGCTTGGCTCGGCTTGGCTCGGCTCGGCTTGGCTTGGCTCGGCTTTGCCGGGGTCTGTATGTTTCAGTTGTGAGAGCTGTGCTGCCAAGTGCAAAGTGTGGGCACATGTGTGTGGTTTGCACTCACTGCCTCCTTTTATACTGTCCCTCCCACCAGCACAGTCAGACTGAGGAAATTCAACTTACTGTCCTTTTTCTTGCCACGCACTAACACGCCTCCTTCTGGGTCATAACGCCCTGTGTCTGTTTGCATGTGTTTTGTGGGACAACTCTTTTTTGTGGGGGGTGGGGTAAAAAAAACTAGTCCGAATATTAAAAATTAAAAAAAAAGTGTTCTGGAATTGTTGTTGATGTGCACCAACTGCAGGGAAGCAAAGATGCCATCACCAGTCAAATGCTCTCTGCCCATTACACCGTCTGCACACTGACACTTCTTTGCACGCTTTCTTGCACGACTACGTCGTGGGCATCAACTGTAAATTGCTGGTTAATGATTGCTATTTTCATTCAGGGAGAGATCAGCGGTCTTCAATTTATCGTGAAAGTTGTGCGTCGGGTGCAGTTTGGAGAAGAAATTAACATTCGTGCAACCATAGTGAAGGGGGAGGCAAACGTGATGGTAATGTCAGCATTGTATAATAATTACCTCGGTTCATATCTCTCTTAGTTCGCTCTGTTAGCGACAGAGCTCTGGAGAAATGTAAAGGAATATTATTCGTCACCTCAAGCTATTGAGGCTGATGACAGACCCACCTGGAAGTTACCCGTGTGGTGTTTAGGACTATTAATCAGATGATTCGTAAGTATCCATCAGTTAATCCAATATACATTGACATGCCCATGATCATTTATAAATCCCCATAGTGATTAGTAATTGTTTGGTTTTAATTGCCATTATTTATATATTATCTAGAGTTTTTACCTTCTATTCCGTTTTTTTTGCTGAATCTTTCTGGTTTTTCTTGCCCCTTTTGGTTTTCTCTTCAGATTTGCTCACTTGAGTTTCAGATGCAAAAAACATAAGCCCCAGTGAGCACACATACATTAGTACTATTCTTGCCAGACACCACATTTCCATCACAGTGTAATTGAGTTGTCTTCGGTCCTGTAAAACCTTAAGAGCTCTTTCCCTCTGCATTCCTTTTGAATGAAATTGATTTGCGCATATGAGCTGCAATAGAAGACACCATCTCCCCTTTGCAGTTATGTAGATATAATAAAACCTGTGCATCAAAAATGCATGAGGCAATTTAAAAAAACTACCGAACAGTGTGCATTCATTAAAATCAAACTCCAAAGACAATCCAAATTGCTGATATTATAATAATAATATTCCTTGCAATTGATATAACATCTTTCACATTGGGTCAGTATCCGAAAGCATTTCACAGGATTTACTGTGAAGTGTAGGGATTGTTCATTGTGTAGGCAACACAGAAATCAATTTTTGTAGAGCAATGTCCTACAAACAGCTATGAAGTGGAAGACCAATTTTATCTGGGGGATTGTTGGCCATGAAAAAGGAGAAACTTTCTTCCCTGTTTAAATTATTAGTACCTCCGAATATGTATATGAAGTGTGTCCGCCTGGTTTAGTTGGTAGCATGCTCACCTCTAAGTCAGAAGGTTTGGGGTTCAAGCCCCAATTGGGACTTTGAACTCATAGTCCAGGCTGACACTCCAGTATAGTGCTAGGGTTGTGTTGCATTGTTGGTGATGCTGTCCTTCAGATGAGACATTAAACCAAGGTTCTGGCTGCCTGCCTTTTCATGTGTATATTAAAGATCTCATGGGACAACTTGAAAAGAGAAGGGAATTTCTTCCGGTGCCTTGACCAATAATCCCCCAATTGATCATTCACTTTATGGCTATTTGTGGGGCATTGCTGTGTGCAAATGGGCTGCCACATTCACTTACAAATACACAATCACTACACTTTAGAGGATATCCTGTGAAGCACTTTGATGGGTCCTCCTGATGTGAAAGGTGCAATATCAAATGCAAGAATTTGTATATTATTTTATGTATTATTTTATTATTCAAGGGTGCATCAATATGCAACAATGCATTTGATTGGCAGGTTACTAATTAAAACCCAGCGTATGGGCTATAATACAACATAAAGCAATTAACTTGTCCAGCAATAGAAATATGATTTGAGCATTGTATAATCAAAGCACAATATACAAGTCAGATTCTGATGGAAGTTAGGTTAATTTTATTTTGAAAGCCTGCCTCAATTGCTTTGTTAAAAATTCTGCAGTTTTATTTTCTCACTCCTTGGTGTTCTTAAAATGGAAATCGGGTGCTGATTGTTTTCGGAAATTTCAAATGAGGCCCTCTGAAGGGCATGAGGGAGGTTTGAAGAGGGGTGAGGATAAGGCAGGGCAGTGGGATTGAATGAGCAGCTTGCTCTGAGAGCTGAGTTTCTTCATCTAAACTGATTTTGTGATCTTGTGAACAATTCATGGCTGTTCCCACAAGTGGCAAAATGTGAGAAAAGGCAGAGTGTGAAACAGTGTCCGCTTGTTTAGGACTTGCCTTTTACCAAATCTAAAATGTTTTATGGCATTCACACATTGGAGGTTGCAATAGATTTATTGACTCTATTTTTGTAACATTTCAGAGTGTAGAATTTTGCAAATTGTTGAATGCAGGCTTGATTTTGAAGCCCATTTTCTTTCGTTTTAAAATAACTTCCAAGAAAAAAGCTTCGTAATTAATGGCCGTACTTAAGAATTTGGTAAACTTCGATTGTTCTTGAATCTACATAAATGAATAAATCTAAACCCCAGGTGGAATTTTAACCCTTGTATTTAAATATCACAATTTAGACTCCGGGGGTGAAAAAGTCTTCTTTTTCTCTCTAATCATTATGCTTTCCTGAGGCATCATGAAGGTTAAACTAAGCGCAGTCAGGGAAAATTTGCTTCTTGAAATCTATAAATGTGTCAAGATTCATTACTCATATTTGTGAGAGTAACAAGAGTGGTCGATAAAGCTGTATTCAGTAAGTTAAGTTAAAGTCCATTATATTCCTCTCCCACTGTATAGTTGCACCTTACAGAACTGGACTCCAGTTAGTTCTGGACAGATGAGGTACACTACTTTAAAAATAAGTTGTGCTATGAGGGAATCTATGTTTAACGACTGCTCGATATTGCAGAGCTGACTGAGATGGATAATGAAATGATATTTGAGGACATGCACAATACCAATATGTTAAAGAAAAGATATGTTACTTTACTGCCAAGCTACTCAGATCAACTTTTCTGCTGCTGTAACAATTTCAGCAGTGAGAGCTGTGATGTTTTAAAATCAGTGGCTGCCAGATTTACACCTCATGAGGCCTGGGAGATGCTCAGTATGAATGTAACCTTGCGATCCACTGGCTGAGCATCCTCGTGGAGAATGCCACACGCTGTTTACCTCTGTCCTAATGAGAGATTTCCTTACAGTCTATGGCTGAAGTCCAGTAGTCTGCATTGCTATACCTCAGCCCTGATGAAATTCCTTTCTTGCAGAACTATACGAGAACTTCTAATTCTTTTGATGACACATTTGCAAACATTCATAATGGTATGTACATTTCATCCATCATGGCAGTCATCAACGAATGCATAACTATTGATATTATTTTAATCTATATATTACTACTTTCTATTAATGAGGCCAATAATGGATGCACTTGATTGTCTATTTGTCTATTTGCAACATTAGGTTTCATTTGACCAGTGAGCTTTTAAATTTCATGCATTGCTCTCCATTTGCAAGAACAATATGTAGCCAGTAATATTTAGATTGCCTTTTATATTGTATTAAATATAATGTTTTATGATAAAATACTATGTATGTATTGCTGTCATTTGTATTGCATTCATTGTGCTGCTACACCAATAACTGTATATTGATAAATTCCTTTCCACTCCCAAAATGCCTCCATTGTTTACAAAGAGGTTAGAGATTTGGAGTCCTAAGAGTATGTAGAGGAATAGACACAATTCATGAAATATTAAATGAACTCACGGTTTCCTTACGAGTGCAAAATAAGCACAATAATAACAACTTGCACTTGTATAGCGCCCTCATATAAGCGTCTCAAGGCGCTGAAACTGTTACGTCCAACTGGGAGTATTAATATTTAAAGGCCTTCCATATTTATAATACTGTATCTCAATTCTATCAATCTCACAAGCTATTATTTTTTATTGCATATCTAATACATGCTTTGGATGATGAAATAAACAGTTTGGGAAT